ATTTATATTTATACATACACGTATTCAGTACTGGGCCTTGCGAACTCATGAAACTCTATCGTTTTCTTGGATTATCTTGTGAGAGAGTTTAATCTGGATGGTGGCAGGTGCTATCAATGCGAAAGTTATTTCTATATTCAACACCAATAACCAACTGTTTTGATTCGGAAGTTAATTCAAGAAGAATACTCTTCCGGCACGAATTTCCCTCTCTGTCCCAGGTTTTTGAAATAACAAGTCATTCAGGACCTTTCCCGATTGGTATTATTTTGCTCAAATAGCATACTGCACAACGATCCTATTCTAATTGAACCCATTCAAATTTCCTCATCAAGCCCATTCCAATTGCACAGAAAATCATTGAGACCGGAAGACTCACTGGGTCCGACTTCGCCCTCAGGGTCTCCCAAAATGCTTAACGGTTCGACCGGCCGCAGTCCGCGAGGGCGTCGCAGTATTGTGGGTAGGACCTTGTTCGGCAAAGACTCGGCCTCGAGACACAGTAGTGAAGACCTGTACCAGAGGGTCGCCGGCGATAATACCAGCACCACTGGGAGCAGCCACCATGACGTCCAGTACATCAAGTCCGGGGGCAAGCAGATCTTGTGTATGTGTATGTGTTGTGATATTAGTGTCCGTGATGGATGGCAGGCGTGTGTTGTGATGGGGTTAGTTTTCTGAAAGGGACGAGAGGGGGGGGTGTGTGTGTGTTAGTCGTATGTGAATGTCAAGTAGATCGAGAAGAGGGTGTGCAGAGTGTAGGGATTGAGATCCTATGTTCCACCGGGCCGGGAAATGACCACTGCAGGTATCGGTTTGTTGGTCCGGATTATGGATTTCTTTGCATTTTGGGTTACTATTGTCTATATGTACAAGTACACGCCCTCCTTCGGAGTACCTCGGTAATCATATTCTACACTCCTTGCTAGACATACGTCACTTTAGACGTTCGGTTACTCCACGCAATATCGGGCTGATACAGCAGTGAGACACTACCTGTGGTCCCCCCCCTTCCCTGCTTGCTTTTGACACCTTCTTTGATTGGCAGAGACTGCACAGGGGCTGCGCATCGTATCTCTGATGCATACACGTCTTACCGGCATTCGAAAGACAACCGATTTTCCCACTACATCCCCTTTATTTTCCTGGTTCTGAATTGCCTCCTCCCCGTAACCTCCTTTATACCCTACACCTGGTGTACGACAGTATACCATCTCTCCCAGTACATATATTCATAACTGTACAATTCAGTAGGCTATGCGACACCCCGTCTTATACCTTGTTCCATCCTATCCCTCCTGCCCGCCCAGCCTTCCTGAAAGACATCGGCCAGTCGGCATCGGCCACCATCGCGCGCGTGCCCAAACGGGACGGCTCCGCAGGCCACTCAGAAACCGCCTCGCAAGACGGAGTACACAGCCAGTCCGAACACACGGTCAGAAACCCCCGGTTCACCCTACGGAAACGTAGCCAAGACCCGCAAGCGTACCTGGAGAAGGGTTCCGTGGCGTCGGAGGGCCTAAGTACGGGGAATGGGGCAACGGGTGTAAAGCCTTCGCACAGTAAGAAGATCGGGCCACGGCCACTGCAGAATGCGGGGAGTGAGAGTGAGTTGTGCTCGCTGTTGGAGCAGGAGGTGAACACTGACTTCACGCCTCAGGATCTGGATGCGAAGTACCGCGACAGAGCCAATGCGGCTAACGTCCCAGCCGTGTCGCCGGTGTTGGAGAAGCCGATCAAGGACGGCAAGGAGAAGGACAACAGGGTGGGCGAGAGGGGGAAGAACGCTATCACGGGGGAGAAGAGCAAGCACGTGCTGGAAAACATACGCTTGGATGCAATGACGAGGCGGAATAAGTATGTCAAACCATGTACAAACACACACACACACACACTCATATATATATATATATATATATATATATATATCACACACACACANATATATATATATATATATATATATATATATATATATATATATATATATATATATATACTATATATATATATATATAGTAGTATATATA